ATTCTTGACAAATATTTTTTAATTTTTGATTGTTATTTGCAAAGACATTACAACTAAGAGACAAAATTGTTAACATTTTTATGTGGCAAATCATTATTCCCACCAGATTCTCGTTTATTGCGTCTTTGCCGGTTTTATCAGTCTAAAAATTATTTGGAGAAATTACTTTCGAAAAATAAAATTTTATGTATCCTATAACTATAATTTTATATTATACAGGGTGTATCTAAATAACACCGAAAAAATTAAAGGGGTGATTCTGTGATGAAAATTAATGTGAGTGTTTGGTATAAAATTTTTTAAAAAAAACCCTCCCCGGAAAAGTTACACCCCTTCGAAAATTAAAAAAAAAATGGTTTTTCTTTTTTATTTTCCCTGTATATCAAGCTAAAGACACGAAACTTGGTAAACATTATCTGTCAATAAAAGTACACTTTTTGAAATTTTTTCAACCCTAAAGTATGCTTAGAAGGGGTTGAAATAATCAACCCCTAAGATATTTTTTCTTACAACTTTTTTTTAGATGAAAATTTTTTCTTTAAAAAAGTATGACTGAAAAGCCCAATTCATTGACTAACTTTTTTATCTCTACAAGTTTTTTTCGAAAACTTGAGCATTTACGAGAAAAAAAATCTAATGCAATGCATTTTCAAAAAGATGAGCTAACGCGAGTGTATTTTGCGTCAAGTCTAGTGGCCTGTGCTTTGCATTTATGAGAAAAAAATTAATAAGCTCATGTAAAATAGCATTTTATTAAACAACAGCCAACCAAATTATGATTCTTATAACTAAAAACAAAAGTGAACAAACAATGAACAAAAACCTGTCGAATATCGACAATACAATTATAATAAATGTTGAAAATGACCGCCTTCAGCTTCAATACAAGCATCTACCCTTTTCCTCATAGAATTGCGTATACGATGAAATATTCCTGGAGAATTTCTTATAGTTTCACACCCTGCTACAATGCGGTTTCGCAGATCATCGATATTTTCAACTGGTTTTGTGTATATCAAAGATTTCAGATATCCCCATATGCAAAAATCCAAAGGATTAAGGTCAGGGGAGCGGGCTGGCCAGTTTACAGGTCCTCCTCGACCTATCCATTGATTGGCATACACCTCATCCAGGTGAGTTCTTGCACGTATACTAAAATGAGCTGGTGCACCATCGTGCATAAACCATAAATGTTGCCTAATTTGAATGAGAACCTCTTCAAGAAGAACAGGTAATTCTTCAAGGAGATGACAATATGCTTCACCATTTAAACGTAGCGGAAGAAAATGGGGACCAATTAAATGATTATCAATAATTCCGAGCCACACGTTTAATGAAAATTGATACTGATGATTTCCTTCAAAGAAGCTATGAGGATTTTCGTCAGCCCAAAGGTGATTGTTGTGAAAATTTCTAATACAGTCTCTTGAGAAACTCGCCTCGTCAGTAAATAAAATATTACCTAAGAACTGTGGTGCTTGGCCAATCATATTAATAAGCCACTGACAAAAAATCACACGGGGTAAAAAATCTCGAATCATTAACGCCTGCACCCGTTGAAGATGATAGGGATACAACATTTGTTCTTTTAAAATTCTAAAAACAACGGAATGGCTTACATGTAGGACACGAGCTATTCTCCTGGTACTATTTTCGGGGAATTCTTCAATTGAATTAAGTACGGCTTCTTCTACAGCTGCAGTTCTAACTTCTCTAGTACGACCAGAATCATAACTTCTTTTTTCAAAATTACCACGTTCCCGCAAGCGTCGGTGAATAGTTGTGAACGTATTATGATGGGGTAGTCTACGCTGTGGGTACTGTTCAGCATAAAGTCCAATGAATTACCGTTAGCACGACCGTATGTAAAATGCATATCTGCCATTTCCAAATTCGAATATGCATTCATATTTTCAATCAACTAATATTTCCTACAATACTCAATCATAAAACTTGTGAAACAATAAGATGGGTAACAGAAAATGACACTACACAATCCTGGTATCAGTATTAATGTTTTTATGCAAAGCACAGGCCACTAGACTTGACGCAAAATACACTCGCGTTAGCTCATCTTTTTGAAAATGCATTGCATTAGATTTTTTTTCTCGTAAATGCTCAAGTTTTAGAAAACATTTGTAGAGTTAAAAAAGTTAGTCAATGAATTGGGCTTTTCAGTCATACTTTTTTAAAGAAAAAATTTTCATCTAAAAAAAAGTTATAAGATAAAATATCTTAGGGGTTGATTATTTCAACCCCTTCTAAGCATACTTCAGGGTTGAAAAAATTTCAAAAAGTGTACTTTTATTGACAGATAATGTTTACCAAGTTTCGTGTCTTTAGCTTAATATACAGGGAAAATAAAAAAGAAAAACCATTATTTTTTTTAATTTTCGAAGGGGTATAACTTTTCCGGGGAGGGTTTTTTCAAAAAATTTTATACCAAACACTCACATTAATTTTCATCACAGAATCACCCCTTTAATTTTTTCGGTGTTATTTAGATACACCCTGTATAAATAAACATATGTTTTTAATCAAATGATTCTTTAAAGTTTTAATATAAGCTAAATTTTTTATTAAAAATCAATATTAGTCTAAACAAAATATTAGGGTTGCAAAGAACTCCGTAAATGCGGCAACGCTGAATATCTTATTTTACGAATTTACAACTAGTACCTATTTTTATAAATGAAAGGTAGTTACCGTAACCAGCCGCAACGTTGCCAATCGGGTCTAACAGCTATTTTGTGTTTCTGACAGTTTCTGTGTGACTTATTGATTTATTCATTTATAAAATACTATTTTTGTGAACTTTTGTGAGAAATATAAAGAATTATAGTACATGCATGTGTAGTGTTTAATAAGGTAGATCGTTTAAATCATAATTTATCCTTTCATTGGTATTTTTAGGTTAGGGTATGTTGTTTTCATTTGAACCAGTGGAGTAGGGCACCCGTCTTAAGACTGTTTTGAGTATATAATTTCTTGTAAAAGATTTGATACAATTTCTTATAGAATTTAAATTGTATAGGATCACATAGTAAATTGTTTAAAAAATGATTATCCAATCTAATTTGTCAGACAATTTACTGCAGGTTTGATAATATACAATTTAAATTGTACAAGAAATTGTATCAAAAACTTGTGTAGTCTAAAACAGTCTTAAAACAGTTTTTAAAGTGATACTCCTTTTATAAATTAGTAAATTTTTCTTATACCAATAAATAATTATTGAATAGTGGCAAAGAAAATTTAACGTAAAATGTAGAATACCTTAAAAATGATTTACCTATTGAGCACCTATTTTTATTATTCTATTTAGGTTTCCGCAAGATCCTGAGAAAAGAAAACTTTGGTTTTCTCTAATAGGAATCCTTGAAAATCAGCCTCTTCGTAAAAACCCAGAGTTGTGTTTAGAACACTGTTTTCCTGAAAATGTTTTGGTACGTGCAAATGGTACTAGATATATTAGAAAAGATGCAAATTCCAGACGGTGTGAGGGCTTTCTATTTTTGGATGACTTATCCAACAGGTAAAAATACAAAATATTAATTTTTTGTTTACCTCTAAACATTATTATTGCCTATATGTATGTATATCTAATGTATGGGTTTTTAGTTCTGATTCAACTGTTTTTGGAACACCACCTGCTGCAAAAAGAAACGTTGCAGTAAGTTATAACATTAATAACTAAGCATAAAAAAATTAAATGAAATTTTAGTTAATAACATTAAAGTATTTTATATATTTAAAACATTATTTTAAAAATTTTTACAGTTTTTTTACGATATTTTTTGCCATACCATGTTTTTTGTAATTACTAATTAAAAAATTATATATTTTTAGGACAGTGTTTTATTTAGATACCCCTACCTACTTAATGTTAATTTAAAATTTTAAATAATTTTGGTTTACATCATACCAGGTAAATATATAGTAAATGCCAATAAACTATAAACCAATAAATATTAAAAATTGGAAGGTACCTTGAATTATGTTGTATTTAAATTTACTTATACTTGAATTTACCTCCATGAAAAAATCATCATAATTATATTACTAAAAAAATATACCTACTTATTTGCGTATTTTTTTAATATACTACTCTGACAATACTTTTAAACTATATGCCACTGGCGAGCATATTATGGACAACAACGTTGCCAGCCAGTCCTAAGAGATCTGTCTTTCTCTCTTCCACTCACTAACAATTTTAAAACAATAACAGTCCGCAATTTTATGGGATTTATGAATAAAACATTTTATCTCTATGTTGTAAAGTCTTTGGTTGAGGAGTTGCGTCAAAGAATTGTTTCTGCTTTTGAAGACTTTACACCTGAATTTTTAGCAAGTACAGTAGAACAGATCAGAGTTAGGATGCAAAAATGCATAAAAAATAGAGGGGGACACTTTGAAAAAAATTTATAAATCAAGTTTTTCTTTCTATTATCGGTAAGATCGGTTTAAGATTTAGTTTAATCTGTTCAGTTAATAGTTTTTAGTTATCTCTTTCATTGTTAATACGTCAATGAACATTAAAAATCAGAATGGCGTGTAATAAGATTTAATATCGGTTATTTCCCTATTTTTTTACATAATAATGTAGGCGAGTAATACATAGTTGTAAAGGGAATTTTTATCTTTATCTAATGGTATAAACATCAAATATGGCGCCCATAAGAAAAACAAAAGTTGTACATAGTATCTTTGAAATAAAACAAGATCCACGGTTAAACCTTACTGATAATAATAAAGAATATCTTCTATTAAAAAAAAGATATTATTAAAAAAATGACAACTTGAGATTGCCTATTTTCAGGGGCCGCACACGTTATACTAATGTGGTCTATAGTGAATTTTTTTCTTAATTAGGAATTAAATTCTCAAACCCGCAAAACAAAAAAATTCCGAGTAAGATTCGAACCAACCATATCTAATAATTCGCGTTGGTGCCTTACCCACTGTTTTTAAAATAATATTATTTTTTCTTTTTTAAGATTCACCACGAACCTAGGGAGGCCACGTCTCCTGTCGAAACATGCGATATCGAGCCATTCAGCGGAACGGTTTTTCGAAAAATGATGGTTAGACGACGACGACAAAACGAAAAAAAATTGGCCGCCGCGGCTTCAGCTGCTAATTCAACCACGACATCAGAGAACGGTGAGTACAATTGATCTTCATTTTAGATTATGGCTTTTGCAGCTTTTTGGTAGTTTGTAGCTTGGTTGTATGGTTTGATATTTACTAATATAACTAACCAACCGATTATTTATTATTAACTGTATTTAAAAATGTAAAGAATGTATTATAGTTATAACGAAACAAACTTTGATATTATCGTTAGTGTAATATTTGTTTAATGAGCCTTTGGTGCATATATACAGTAATCACAAATGAAAATGAATAGCATGAGCATCAGTAAATAGTTAAATATAAAAATAACGTTAATTTAACCCTTTAACAATTTTCTTAATATTCCAACCCCGTCAATATTCCCATTTTCGATCCGAAGTAAAAGCATATTGATTCTTGTCACTTTTATAAACATCGTAAAACACAGATAGTAGCTTGCCTAAAGCAACAACAACGTTAAAATTAGGCAATTAACTAATAGAGCGAGGGCCGGCCGTATAAAATTGACTGGGGGATTATTATAGGCTGAATTAACAAACAAAATTAAATGTTATTAAATTGTTAAACACCAGACCGATATTGAGGTGCCGTGGTTTTACGCACCCTTGAAAATAACACTGCAGGTTCAATAATTTTGAGATCGTTGAAGCCATTGTTGAAGCGGTATTTTATAGTAAATAAATATATAAAAGAGAAGCATTAGTCATAGATTAGGAAAAAGTGAATAGATGGGAAACTCAATGGAAAAATTCTGAGGCGATGTGCTGCCATCTATCAAATTGGAGTGGTACTAAATTGAATATGGTCACCAGTAGCGGGCTTTTTGAAATGTAACTTTTTGCTGGGTGGCCAAAAATGTAATGAAGAAAATCAAATAAAAAAAATAAATTTGAAAAATATTTGACTAGTTTCAAATCATAAAACAACCATATTGATTGTTTTATGATTTGAAATTAGTCAAATATTTTGTCAATTTATATTTTTTATTTGATTTTAATTCATTATATTTTTGCATTATTTTCAAACTTGAAATAAAATACAATTTATTTTATATTTTTTTACAAAGTTGTTTACAAAGTTGTTTACAAAGTTTTTTTACAAGGTTGTTTACAAAGTTGTTTACAAAGTTGTTTACAAAGTTGTTTACAAAGTTGTTTACACAGTTGTTTACAAAGTGGTTTACAAAGTTTTTGACAAAGTTGTTGACAAAGTTGTTTACAAAGTTGTTTACAAAGTTGTTTACAAAGTTGTTTACAAAGTTGTTTACAAAGTTGTTTATAAAGTTGTTTACAAAGTTGTTTACAAGGTTGTTTACAAAGTTGTTTACAAAGTTGTTTACAAAGTTGTTTACAAAGTTGTTTACAAAGTTGTTTACAAAGTTGTTTACAAAGTTGTTTACAAAGTTGTTTACAAAGTTGTTTACAAAGTTGTTTACAAAGTTGTTTACAAAGTTGTTTACAAAGTTGTTTACAAAGTTGTTTACAAAGTTGTTTACAAAGTTGTTTACAAAGTTGTTTACAAAGTTGTTTACAAAGTTGTTTACAAAGTTGTTTACAAAGTTGTTTACAAAGTTGTTTACAAAGTTGTTTACAAAGTTGTTTACAAAGTTGTTTACAAAGTTGTTTACAAAGTTGTTTACAAAGTTGTTTACAAAGTTGTTTACAAAGTTTATTTCTATTTTAAACGATTTGCTAATCTGTATTTTAAAATAATACCATGGTAATCGTATTAAAAACCCAGCCCTCACTTATAAAAAGGTTAGCACCTCTGCTGAAATGTAATTCTTAATTTCTATTTAACTAGTTGTAGGGATTTTTTAAAAAATATTTAATTAAGCATCTTCCATATACATTTTTGACCAATGTTGAAATTTGGTAAGACTCTTTTTGACTGAATGTATACGTCTAATCACTGTAAATTAAAACGTCAAATTTTTCGTATTTAAACCTTAATAGATTTTTCGAGAATAAGGTACTATAGGCGTTTGCGAAACCTTATTCGGATCAGAAAGATTATGGATTCTACTGTTCGTTTACCTATGGTTTACTTACCCTATTCGTGTTCGGAAACTAGTATATTACTGATCCAGCTTTATGATCGAGATCATTATTTTGTAACCTACTCTACGAGTAGATTAGTAATAGATCTGCAAGCGCACCACAGGATTTTATAAAGAGATAACGCAATTTTTTGGTGTTTGGTGTCTGCCAGTAGTAGCATTATATTTTTAGATAACTTAGTAGAACAACCTTATGGACGTTTCATTGGAGGCAATTCTGTTAGAACAGAAGTACAAAACTACAAATATGTTTAATTAAAATGGTTCTTTCACAAATAATGGAGAAAAGTCAAAGATTGACAGACGTAGATAAACAGGAACAATAATCCAGCTCGTTCGTAAACTGTCGGCACTAAGTTCAGTGATCCACGTGATTCATCGGGTACACCCAGTAAACTGTATTTATTACCTATAGTAGGTTCTCGAAAATGATTTATGTTTCTCTCAACTTGGGCAATGGACTTAGAATTACGTAAAAATATTTTGGCAAAATAATTCATAAATATAGTTTTATTATAAACAATTATTAACCCATTATCGGAGCGAATTCTTACATTAGAATTTTCTATTTTTTTTCTTAATAACAATTTGTGATCGGCAACTTTCTGACAAGTTTAGTGTCACTTTTGCTTAATAAACATTTGTTGTTGTATTTTAAACGATTATATTATAATATCACTAACAAAGATTATAAATAATAAAGGAGCCAAGCGGTAAATCTTGTAGGACTCCTATAGGAACTAATTTAGACTGAGATGTAATTTCGTCTATGTTGGCTACGTAGAGTCACATATTTAAATTATTTTTTTGTTTAAAATAATAAAAAATTACCATATATTAATAGATTGTTTACACCATATTTTTCGTTAATAGATAAAAACTGTCAATAAAACAATTATCTCTGAGGATTATAATAAATAAATACAAAACCAAACGTTAATCAGAAACTATTAGCCATAATCTTCTTGAATTAATAAATTTATTGTGACGAAGAATATCATTCATCCTTCGCAAAGCTACAATCACATCTATAAGTTATCACTACTAACCGTGATATGTATCTATCAACTCGACGATAAAACAATATTTCCCGTTTCTCACTCCTTTTCCGTAATTCTCCTCTACAATCGCTCTATAGGTACCTATACTCAAACAATACTCCTTTGTGAAATGGCGCTCCAAACGAACAAAGACGTTAAAGTTAGTATACCTGTTAGAATTTATACATTATTATACTCCATTCAACAAGTTCAATTAGAAAAGGGTAAGGCAATGGCGGCTTGTAATCTCGTCTACAAGGGGGCTACTTTTAAAAGGCACTTAATATAAAATATTAGATATTTATACCCTATATAGTATAAATATGCAAGGTGTTAGTATACTCGACCGACAGGTGACAATATTCTATCCACATACTTTGATATGTGGCTCTATCACAGAGAGCTCTCTAGGAACATGAAATCCTAAAGATTTTAGTTAACAAGATACAGGATGTTAAAAATTTTAAATCCAAATTTAAAATTTACCGTAAAACAAAATCGTCTTTAAATATATTAGAATAGTTTTAAAATAATTCTATGAGTGAACCAAAACACAGAATTTTACGTCACCTCCGGTTCTGAACTGATTCGAAATTAACCAAAACACTTTTAAATCATTATGCATGTCAGGATGGTTCTTAAATTGGAACCAAAACAAACCTACTTGTGACTAGAAATTATTTTAGAATTTTTAGTTCAAGCATGAGTATCTTTAAGAAAGCACGGTGGGCTTGAACATGATTTAAATGTGAAGTTTTAGCACCACCGATTTTCTTTCGGCATCCGATTCCTGGAGTCATAAGAAGGCTAGAAAAAAAATCCACCTTAAGCCTTAGAGCTGTTTTCGAAAAAACGCCTTTTTTCACGAGTAAAGATTCAGTGTTCGAGATATCGAGATTTTTGTACCTTTTTCACTTCTAGTGGCCAAACATCCCCAATTTGGCATAAATGATGTTTTCCTATCAGTTTTACACTAACACACAAACATTTACAAAGCATATTTTTGAAATTGTCCCCTTTACTAAGATCGGAGATAGGTACTATTTAGCGATTCTCAGAAACAGGTTAAAATAGAAAAAATTTGAAAGAATTATTTTTCATTCGAATGAGTTTTGCGCTAGTATGTCAACAAGCGAGAACCATTTTTTTTATTTTCATCCTTGTCTGATTTGCGGGGTCATCGAACTATCACCAACCCTCACCCCTGATTCTTTGTTTACGTTTTGTTATACTGGAGATCGAATGAACAATGTTATTTGTGCAACTTGTCAAAAATATATGCTACACTCACAGATATGTATAGAGAAGATAGGAAAAGACCATTTCCCTGGTGTTTCAAAATAAGCATACCATGTAGGCAATTTAAGCGTACCACGCACATGCGCAGTTGCTGTAGTATTTCGACAGAAGTGTCATGTCATGCAATTAGAACGTCAGATAGTCTCCGACCCTCTTCGAGATGAAGTTGTAATTGTTCTCTTCGAAATTTCAATTTATTGGGAAAGTATGGACAGAAGATCAAAAGATCATGCAGGGACCCATCAAGAAAGTCATGCGCGCATATGTTTTCTCTGTCTGCAGAAAAAGAATCAAATGGTCAAAATCAGTGGTGCTTTATGTGTTAATTTAAAAAAATGTGTGAATTATGCTGAACGTTTTCCTAATGTTTTATGTAGCGCTTGCAAAATTATCGTATATCGGTCAGTGGTCAGTGAAGTGTGAAACTATCGAGAACATAGCTTTGCCGGACTATACAAAGTTCAACATTTTGGAGAAGAATACCCATATAATTTCACCAAAAAAAATGACAAGAACAAAAAGAAGAGGAGCAACAAGTGCAATAAAAATGTGGTGAAACTTATTCGGTAGGGAAAAACATTTTTGTTCCCCAGAAAACCACTTCCCGAGTTTCAAAGAACATGTAAGTA